TTATCAGCATTGTTCCCAAAAACACAGCACTGCACCAGCTATTAAGGAGAAAAATGACTGCTACTGCTGAACCCAGGACAGTAAGATAATGGATGTCACTTATAAAACTAAACAGATAGCAATATAATTAATGCACTTTCTCACAGTGTATCTTAAGTAACATGACAGTCACCCGAATGAGTGCTTGCACTGTCTTCACAAAGTAAAGAAATGTCCCAATCGATTCTGGTGATCATTGGTCTGGGGTTTGCTGGGATTGCCAGACTGGATCCCGCATAGAGCTTTGATGGGAACACCAAGGAACAAAGAGAGAGATGTGTTGCTGGATCCATACTGGTTTGGATCACACATCTGCAGTGTGCCCAGAAAAACCTGTAATCCTGTCAGGATTGTATGTGAAGGGAGCCTATAGGGATGCTGGGGAGGGACTCTTCATTAGGGACTGTAGTGATAGGACAAGGGGTAATGGGTTAAAACTTAAACAGGGGAGGTTTGGACTGGATATAAGGAGGAAATTCTTTCCTGTTAGGGTGGTGAGGCACTGGAACAGGTTGCCCAGGGAGGTTGTGAATGCTCCATCCCTGGCAGTGTTCAAGACCAGGTTGGACGAGGACTTTGGTGAGATGGTTTAGTGTGAGGTGTTCCTGCCCATGGCAGGGGGGTTGGAACTTGATGATCTTAAGGTCCTTTCCAACCCTAACTATTCTATGATTCTATAATTCTACGATTTGTTGAGCTAGAAATTCGGACTGATGATGTCTGAAACTCAAGACTTTAATGTGACAAAGACCACTTGGGTTTTGGGTTGAAGATGTCAGTAGCTGTGAAGATTCACTGCGCATCTTCAAATGCTTGCGGTGCTATGAAATGATGTGTTTGGGGGTAGTTTATGATGTTAGATGTATTTTAGGTAGAAGTTTATTTTTTGAGAGTGACTAGTCAGTACAGCTCCTTATTGTTGTTTCTGACATGGGGGAAGTACAAAACATTTGCTGATGTGAGTACAGTGAGTAGAGGAAAGACACTCAGCTTTGCTCAGAGACAAAAGACTCTATTCCTGGAAAATGTAATGCCAAAGGCCTTTTGGATTTTAGATAAGAGTATAAGTTTTTGTATATAGTATAAATTGATGTAAAATTAGGAGAATATTTTTGATCATTACTTTTCAGAGTGAAATTCCAGTATGAAGGAAAACAGATCACAATGCCTGATTCTGATGCCTGATAATTACAGTTTAGGCAGACAGGGATGGAGTTACTCTGCAACACTGTTTATCATGGCTTGAAGCAAGAATGATTAGATTTGAGAGGCTTAGATCTCCCTTTCACAAATCTGCAAAACCCGTGGTGTCCTACTACTTAATGCGGTCCAGCTTTATTTTCTTTTTACGATTGTATCTTTCAAGAAACATTTATGCAAAGCCTGTTTTTCTCCTACAGCTTTGTGGAGATATTCTAAACTGATTTTGTTGTACCCAATCCACCTACATTCCTTCTATTTAGACTTAGATGGATGATTCCCAAGTTATTCATGGTCTTCCCAGTTTCTTTACTGGGTAGAGCAGGTGATATAAGAGAACAATCCATCAGTATCTTGGAGGCATATAATTGCTCATAAATACAGTACTTTATGTTTCATCTTTGTTTTCATAGCCTTGAATGGGGCACCAGCTTACATAGCTAGTAAGGCTTTATGCTTGGACATAATGAAGTGTGAGAAAAATAAATTAGACTTCCCATGCAGTGAATCCAGATCAGGCATTCAGAGTCTACTGTAGGCTGTGAACCCAATTAAATTATTGGGAAAGAATTTCAGTAGATGTAGTAACTGAGTGTGCAAGACGGAGTTTGGCTTTAAAAATTAGAGACTGGAAACAGGGAGAAACAGTAAGAGAACAGTGACTAAAAAATAACCCAACAAGTTTCATGGATGCCATAGCATCATGAACATCCATTCTAAGAAACTGGAATTCATGTTGTAGAAGAGGGAAAAGGTGGAGAACTCCATGAAGGAGAAATTTTGTGGTGCTGTTGACCAGCAGATGGTACTTGGTGGGAAGGCTTTTTTTAATCTGTCTCAGCATCTGCTGCAGGTGCATGAGTTAAGCTAATCTTAAGCTTCTGCATGCAGATCTGCATTATCTCTACTAATTTGGTTATTTTTAACAAATACCACAAAAAAGTACCACAGGAGTCTCTCAGATTAGGCAGGGATTCTTCAACACTTGGTGGGGGAAGATCATGGACTGTATCTGTAGAAAGAAAGGGGAGTCAGTACAGTGATATGGAGAGAGAACTAAGTGAAGCATCTGAAAAAAAATTCCAGGCAGTGAGACGAGTAGCTCAGGAAAACAGCCTCCTCTACAAAGTGTTTTTTCATACTTCAAACTTGCAAGACAAAACACAAGTAAATATAAAACTGGTAGGAAGCCACATGATGGCTGGGGAAAACATTTAATGGACTTTATGCATCTCTGACATCTGGATTCAGGGAGTTAATCTGAGCTAGTGGCATTCTGAATATGCTGATCTGGTGTTAAATTGTGAAAACTGGGAATTCACAAAATGCACAGCTTCACTGATAACATTAGAAGGCAGCATGCACTGAAACTGGTACTCATTCGCCGAACAACATGAAACTTTGTTAAATTTAAAATAATCAAATTGTTGGACTGGAAGAGACCTCAAGAGGGGACTTAAATCATCCCACCATTCATAACAAATACCTGTCTAGTCTTGTCAAGTGGTGGAGACACCACAAGCTCCTGGCTGCTCTGTTCTGGTTTCTCACCATCTCAGCACCTCACCTGAAACTTCTTTTCCCAAATAAAAGCTCAGTACTACCTCCCCTATCCCATACAGCTCCATGAAGCCCAATTGAGGACTGTTACCATGTCTATCCTACAGGCTCTCCTGCTTATGCTTCCTCCTTTGCCCCACTGCTAATTTTCAAATTTCTAAATCAAATTAAGCGTCTAAGCCCTTCAGTCATTCCTTATTCATTATGTTTATGACATGTCTAACCATCCAACTGTGTCAAAACTTTTGTCATGGAAACCCACACAGAACTCCAACTGCAGTCCTAATAAAACTGAGAAATCAAAAGGAAAACTTTTTTACCCATGTACCACACAGTGGCACCTGCTACTTTCCTAACAGCACTACCTCATGGTGTTCAGACTGACTGACCCATGTGGTAATTCCTGTGTCTTTTTTTAAAACAAGTTTATCGGCTATCTCTCTCTCTCTATGCAGTTGATGGTTTTTGTCAAAATCTAGAGTGTGCAGTTGTAGCTTTAGAAATTTCATCCTGTTTTTTTTTTCCTGTCTGTTGCTTCCATTTGTTTGGTGATTCAGCAGATCTGGTGTGCTCTCCCAAGTGTTCTTTCTAAAGTGTCCAGTGGGTAATAATTGCAAAACATCATTATGCCATACCCCAAGGCAATTAAGCCTGTACTTTATGTAAAAGGATCTGGATTTTATGTGAAGGTAAAAAAAGGAGCACAGATAGTTCTTCTTGGTTGTATAGCAAAGGAGACCTCTTTGTATGTGTAACTTACCATGCTGGTTTTTCAGCACTCTAATATAAGGCTGAGGCATTCTTAAACACTATTTTGAAGTATTTGTTTCAAGACCTAGCTGTGGTTTGTAGCTCATAAGCATCCTGCCCCACATTTCTTACAGAATGTAGCAGAGAAGGCCTTGAACCGTTAGTGCAGTCAGGTGGCAAATAGAGCAGAAGTCTTAGTCCTCATTCCTGAGTGTTCCTCTAATGGCTCTCACAGTGACCGTTTTTGTGGTGGGAAGAAATGCTTTGTTTTAATTTGTTTGAAATACCTTTCTTGGGTTAGAATTGCTTCATTCTCATTAGCTAGATCCTCTGAGGGACTTGCACAGGTACAAGAAAATTGCTGGTTTAATTTACCAACTTCACCCTCAAAATACCCAGTCAGTATATCTTCACATATCAAAAAAGCTGCTGGCTGATATTAACAAGAATTTCCTAAGCATAAGTTACTTGCACTGCTATGCCCTCTCGCCTTTCCCCGCTGCTTTAATTCTGGGTTGTGTTCATCTGTTGTGTTATTTGACTGGAAGTCTGGGTTGTAATTTTGCAGGAGGGTGCTGGACTGCTTATAGTTTGTAGAGCAGAGCTTGTAAATTGATGTGAGGCCTTCAGGAATTAAATGTCTGCATAAAACTGAAAGTACTCCTGTCAAAGATGTTGAAATGAAAGTTAAACTTACTTAGCAGGATTGCTGACTTTATACATGTGTGAAATAAAATTGTTATTTAGTTTAGCTGAAGTATTTCAGCATTGAAGAAGCTGAAGCACAGGAAAATATGAAGATTGGTTGTACATATTGCCTACATTAGGTATTCACATTTTGTCTTGGGTTCTAGAAACAGTCTCATGGAATTAAGTAAGTGTTTTGGGTTGGGGGGTGTACAGAAAAAGAAGCTGGCTTCTTGACAAACCGTTCACAAGAACTTCATAGTTGTTCGGCTGGGGAGGTTGGGGAAGGAAGAGAAACCCCAAAAAAAAAACACAACCAAAAATCAAACAACTATATTTCTGACCAGATACCCATAATGAGTCTCCAAATACATTCCTGGGCTGAACTTTCTTCGAACGTATTTACTAGAAATTTTTCTGGAGGGGAAAGGCACATAAAATTCATATAACCATGGGAAAAGGAAACGCCACAAGTAGTCTTCTAAAATCCCTATCCTATCCTTAGGATTTGACATGTGTTGTGCTTCCAATATGAAAACACAGTGACATCTTTCTGGTACTTCTGCATCCACTTGATGCCAAACAGTACCAATTTGTGGGGCATGAAAACAAAACAGTTGGGGCGGTGGGGATTTAATTAATACTGTTAATGTTACTTCTGTGGTTTAATTATTTAGTAGAGTTCTTCTGTGCCTAACTTGCATGGATATGATTTATTCCCAATTTTTTGAATAATGTAAGAGGGCTCTTTGTTTCATTTGAAGGGGAAGAGGACCACTGAAGAACACATCTGATGTAATTAATGCAGCAAAAATGATTTCAGAGTCGGGATCAAGGATGGATGTCCTAGCACGGCTGATTGCCAATCAGGTAGGTTATTGATGCAGCAATGCATTAAACTGCGTCACAGATTAATCCATCTGCAGAACCCCTAACACTTAAAAAAGTCATTTACAAAAGTGCTCGTGACATTTTTACTGTCTGGTCTTTTTCTTCTCAATTTTTGAATACGTAGATCCTGTCTTAATTGTATGTGTGGATTCTCTTCATACATATCAATGTGTCTGTTTAAATACACTTATGAACTCACATAAATGTCTTTGTACATATATCACAGATGTGTATGTGCATTTATGTATTTATCTCCACGTGTATTTGTACATACAGGTATATTTGTGAGCTCCTTTAAGCTATGAATGCAAAATTTTAGACAGATACATGAATATATAGTGTCTAAATATATACATATATTCATACCTCCTTAGAGCTATGAATGCAATATTTTAGATGTACAGTCCATTTTTCCTTCGGTAAATTACCTAGAAACAACTGTAATTGTTTCAGGTGAGCCAGCTTAGAAGTGGAGTGTTGCACTGGCATAGAATTCTGCTGAGCAGGCTTAGACATGTGCTAGGCCTCAGCAAGGCTAGTAAGGTTACTGACTTTGCTTCTTTTTTCTTTGAAATGACTTATTTTTCACCCTAATCTCCCTTTGTAGTTACAGAATCTGTACTTCTGGTGTACCTAGTTTTATCTGTCTTCCATTGCTATCCCCCCAACACTGGCCATTTCTTTGAAGTACTGATGTCAAATGGTTTTCTATGTAAATATCCTTCTGGATAGTCACAGTTTTGGCCTCTGCATGCCTGCAGTCTTGAGGTGATTTTTTTTTCCATTTAAAAGAAATATGTACCATCATCAAATGCAGAGCGGAACAATAAAGTCTGCTTTATTTTCATTGAATTTTAAATACATCAGCTCAAAAAAAACCATCAGAATACCTAAATCAGATGTATGTAAATCGATAAGCATGCTCATGTTCCTGGCTAGGACAACTCCATAGTAGCTTAGGAAATTAATATACCAAGCAACTTGCCACATGCAGCCTGCTTTGTTAAGTAAGGTTGGTGGTTTTAGGGCCAGACAATACCAGAAGAAGAGTGTAGTGAAACGTCAGTGTGCAAGTATCAAATCTAAAGCATGTACACATTCCTAGGCTTTGTAACTGCCTTTTAGGCCAAGGGCAGCATGCAGGTCACTGCGTTCCACACCCTTACATACTGTTTCTCTTCCATTCACTTTAATTTTCATATACAGCCTTTGTTTTTCTAGTATCTATGAAGCAGCAACAATCTGTTAGTTTTTTCTACCGTATGTGCCTCTGAATTCCAGATAACAAGACAAAGAACTTATATTTTCCATTTGTACAATTGTGATCTGATTTGTGGAAAAACAAGGTAAAATGTTGTTAAGTCCCAATTTGTGATCTTGACAGATATTCTTCCAGCACTTACCTCTTTTCAAGAGCATGGGAGAATGGCTCCTTTCAAGCTTTTACCAGTTACAAATTAAAATTCTAACCCATCACTGCTCCATTGCAGAAAACAATATGGTATCAAAGCTGAAGATGAGCAAGGGTCACAATCTCTTGCTCTTAGAATAGGGAATCTAGTCTCACTGTGTCACTTCTTTCCTAAAATTTTCCTTTTTCTGTGTTACTACAATGACTGCAGACCAGAAACATGGACAAATTAGTATGAGCAAAAAGTAGCCATGAATCATTAGTACTAATAATGTGTGTGACACATTTCCCAGCAGCTGCTGGGAAACATCAGCTGCTGGAATGATGTGACACCATACTAGTTATTGTAACCCTTTTATTGAATTCACTCAAATTATTTCCATATGACCTAGCTGAGAACCTTGCACATAGTTGATACCCTTGATCCACCTGACCCCTGGTATTTATTCCCTGTGGTATCTTGTATGCATCAAAAATACACTGTTAGAGGTGTTGCTTGTATTTTAGATGTTATTTCATGCTGTATGTATTAGAAGCAAATTAGCATATACAATTTAAAAAAAACCAAACAATTGAACCAAAGCAGCCCTTCCAGTACAGCTGTGGTGAGTACAAGTACAAGCATTGCTAGCTGTGTGTCAAACATAGTATAAAAGAGAATCTTGCCTTTATTCTTCCTATTACGGAGATGCTTAATACTATCCTCTCATTCCTCTGATGGCCAGAAATCCTTTAACTTCTCTAACCTGTTTTGCCTGTGCCAAGTCATCCGTTAACTTATAAAGCTCTTTCCTCATTGTGTTCTTTTTTAATCTCCAAGGTATTTGTAAAGACCAGTAATTCCTTTTCTCAGCTATTACTTTGCTAAATTTCCTATGCCCTGCTTTCTTGGGGTCCTAAAATAAAATAAACTACGTTCTTCTGGGCTGCCTGATAGCTGTTCTCTGAATATGGTCCAAACTGAAGGAGCTCTTCAAGAATCCGGTGCCCAAACTGGAACATAAATTCCAAGGAGGCTTTATGAGTGCCTTTCTCAGTGGCATTAATGCTTTTTAGTGGAGTATTGCACCTATTGCCTTTTAATAACATCTAAATTATGTGGAAATTTTATTCCGTGCAAAAATGAATTTGTATGCTCTGTTTCAAAAGTGAAAAGACCTCTACACTGTACCAGTTTCAAGTAACTTCCTGCACATACTTTTCACCACTTTTTCACCACTTGCTATTGAGCTTAGGCTGCCCTGTAAGTCTGATACTGTCATTTAATTAGGCCACATCACATTACTGTTCACAGTCATCCCATGACTGAACTATTACTCTGCCTTTGCAGTTAACAGGACAGGCTTTTATAACCCCCTCTTCGTGTGTTTGAAGGAAAGGGACACAGTGTGGTACAATTAGCAGAATGTTACATTTCAATCCATATTGACAGCACTTTTAAGATGACTCAGTGTTAAGAACTGTGAAAATAATCACAGTACAGCATCAGCATAAAACTAGGCAGATTAATCACAAATAAACTGATAATAAATTTAACAACTTGGTAATTTCCACTGTCAAATGGGATGTTCATAGTGGAACTTTTTGCTGCAGTCCTGGATAAAGGCAAGGCTATGCAGGTGTCCCAAACCCATTACCAAGTTGGAGCTTCCTACAGGCTTGTCTGCTGCCATACATAAGCTAGGCGTAAACTATGGCCAAGGGATTTGTGCACTGCAGCACAGCCCAGGTCTGGCCCTAGTTCACAGGTCAGCTGCTGTGTGGGTTCCAGCTCCTCAATGTACAGTGGTCTCTTGGTCAGGATCAATACATTAAGGCAATGAAATGTTAAAGACTTCCAATCTGGAAGTGTAGGGCTCAATATGAAACATCTATATTCTGTAGAACCAGGCAGTCTCCTGACTTAGCTGATTCCATGTACTTCAAAAATTTTTACCTGAAAGTAAAATGAAAAAGACATCTAAAATGATAAACTGATAAATACGATGCAAGCAGATGTGCCAAAAAGATGTTTTGATTACAGGATCATCTTACCTAAAAGATTGCAGTTAACAAATAATTGCAATAAATTACACATTTATAGTAGTGGGTCTGTGTGTGATTATACCCAGTATTAATCACCATAAAGACAGCTTCAGATTATAAAGAAATGCTACAGACTTTGTTAGCAAAGGGATGAAATTATAGTGAAGCAAGAACAGCATTGCTATAATCAGACTTTCCTGCAGAATTGTTTGTCTTGGCACTGCTGTGCCAGTGGCTTTTTCATTTGGATTGTTGAATGCTGGTTTCACTGTGATTTTAATCACTGCACGATTAATCAAATCATATGGAAGTTTCTGTGGATATTATCTCTATTAGGTAAAACATCGCGGCATATTCTGAATGGAAGTCAGTTCTGATCCTGTTGTTATGGAGAGCCCTTGTTAATACTCCACTGTCTTAAATATGTATGGAAAAGAACCTTGCATAATTTGCCAGGATCTCTAGCTAAGAACGTGAGGCATTAAACTGGTAACCATCAATTACCTTTGGGATGATTAAACTCAGAATTTATTAACTGTCCTTCTGTTGCAGCCTAGTGTTTGGTTTCACTAGTGAGCAACTTGTACCAGATGCTTCTGAGCAATATGTAGAGGATTCCTTACAAACTATCCTCTCTACACAGTACATTTCTTCCTAACATTTGTTTAAGGTTGATTTGGATATGGTGGAATTTTTTTTTTAGTACACTATCCTGCTAAAAATAGTGCAGAATTCTTATCTTTACCCCTGTAAATGCCTCTTCTTTCTACTGTGTTGGTCCCTGCCATGATCATACGGTCTTGCAAAGTTTCATGGGTAATGTACATAAAAATGAGCACACTTGGTCAGACCCTGTAGATTCACTTAGGCCGATGTCCTGTTGCTGACAATAGTCAATAGTGAACATCTTCAGAACTTGGCTAGATAATGGCATGCATTTCATGATTCTTCCACAATATGGTTTCCCAACCTCCAGCAGCCATTCAAGAGTTTACTTAACCAAACCTAGTTTGGTGCACTTGATACATTAAACAGTCCTTGGTATTTTTTTCTCATTAATTTGTCCAGCAACCTTTTTAACCTGTGTAACCTTTTAGTATAACCGTCCTGCAACAAAGATTTCTGAAACTTAACAACAGTGTTAAAAGCCACCTCCTTTTGTTTTCAACTCAGGCTAGTTACTTTTAATGACCTCTTGTAGTGGAGGAAAGAACACCTGTCTTCACAAAAATCTCTGTTGTCCTTCTGGTTTTCTACGTGCCTTGTAGTGGGCAAGGGAGAGGAAAGATGCATCATACCTACACTAAGTAGAAAAGTTGTGGGTGTACCACAGAGTTTACAGTTGCATAATTACATTCCAGAAGTCTTTTCCTAATAATGCCTAGCATTTACCTTTTTTGAATCTACTGAGCACTGAACAGTGTTTCCATATTTTGGTTTTGAGTGGCAGTTTCTTGGTCTTTGATGCATGTCATCTTTAGCATTCCTAAAATGTTACACATTTCTTCTCTATATGGTATGTGAGTAAGATAGATAGTAAATGTGACTGGCCTGCCAATATTATGAGAGAGTACTATATAATAAGGTTAAATTATTCTTGTCTCTGACATTCTGTAATTGACATTGTCACTATTTGAAATGGATGAGACACCATTTAAGCACGCTGTCTGCCCATCTCTTGGGTTTTTTGGGGCGGGGAGAGAGATCATGCTGTATTTAAGAAAAAGAAAAAAAAAGAAAAAGAGGAGCAAGCATCTCTCATTGCAGGGAATACACCCTGGTTTTATATAATTAATTCTGATGTTTAAAGGGATTACAGTTGCATTTGACTGATAGGACAGATTTTTTGATTAATTAAATAACAATGACTATTCCAGTTTTCAAAGCAATCTAAACTTTCTAAACTGCGATACTAATATTTAAATACTGGTTTGTGCAGTTCTTAAAGCAGTGTTGCGTAAGGAAGAAGCAAAGGCATATTTTAGTATAATTTTCTGTAATATGCTAACACTTTGAAAACATCACACATAAGAAAGAGATGATGTCAAGAAACTTTTCTGGTTTTCTTCTAAATTTTGCGAAAGTACAGAAAATATTTTAGTAATGGATCTAGTAGAACATGAGGTAGGGACTGACATTACGTAGAATCATAGAATAGTTAGGGTTGGAAAGGACCTTAACATCATCTAGTTCCAACCACCCTGCCATGGGCAGGGATACCTCACACTGAACCATCTCACCCAAGGCTCTGTCCAACCTGGCCTTAAACACCGCCAGGGATGGAGCATTCACAACTTCCCTGGGCAACCCATTCCAGTGCCTCACCACCCTCAGGGTAAAGAATTTCCTCCTTATATCCAACCTAAACTTCCCCTGTTTTAAGTTTTAACCCTTTAACCTTTGTCCTGTCACTACTGTCCCTAATGAAGAGTCCCTCCCCAGATCCTCACAGGCCTCCTTCAGATACTGGAAGGCTGCTCTGAGGTCTCCACGCAGCCTTCTCTTCTCCAGGCTGAACAGCCCCAACTTTCTCAGCCTGTCTTCATATGAGAGGTGCTTCAGTGCTCTGATCATCCTCATGGCCCTCCTCTGGACTTGCTCCAACAATTCCATGTCCTTTTTTATGTTGAGGACACCAGAACTGTACACGGTACTCCCAAGTGAGGTCTCACGAGAGCATTTAATTCATATTAAGTAAGTAATTTAAAATAGTTCATCCTACTCTTCGTTATTTATTACCTTTTCCTATGTCTAAAACATGGACTGCTTTCTTTTACCGAACATAACTGCATGAAGAGTGGAATTGTCACACCCCCATTTTAAACAAGTATCCAGTTTCTTCAGCAACGCCGGTAGTTTAGGTACAGTATTTCATGAATTAAATAGAATTAGTGCTTTTTCTGAATTCTGGTAGGTTTTGGATTTAAATCCATTGACCACAATTCCATAAGACTCAAAAGTTTAAATAGCTATACAAACCCATATATGGCTGTTGCCACTGCAGTTGGTGGTAACATATTTTTCTTAATACACAAAGCTGAACACAATCTTCATCAAAAGGCAGTAACCATATTTCTAATGTAAGTACGCACACAGGCTAAAAATATGTCTCTGAAAAACTTGTAGGGATCTATTTATTATTTATTGTGCTCACTTTTTACAGCTGCGGTAGCACAATAGGGACTTACCATTCACCTTAAGATCCCTTACTCTGCCAGAGAAAGCAGCTTTAGAACAAATGCATAACAGGCTTAAGTGTCTAGCCTGGTACTCACAGAATAGTATTTTCCCTCCCAGTACTCCAGATATTTAGGGAGTTCAAAGAAATGAGGGTGGAAAGATGCTATTTTTATTAAAAAAGTCCTATGCTATTAAAAGTATTGAAATTGGTGTTTTCTGTAAGACATTTTTATTGCCCTATTCCCCCTGTTACAGAAGATCTGTGAATTGAGTTGAATAAATTCTGGATGGAATACAAAAAAATAGATTGTACTATAAAATTAGGCATAATTTCCTATAAATGATAACATTGCTGTTGTAGGTATGTTCCTAAAAAGAAAGCATAACCTCTCAGGAGTTGAAGGGAAAATAACTATTCCATACATTAACAAATTTGGTTAGAAATATTCCTAAGGTAAGCCCAGCACTGTTTAAAGAAAAAAGTTAATATGGAAAAGTGCAGGATTATTCTGAACTTCTCCAATTATTTTGTTAAAAAGATTCACAGAAGGAATGAACTGTGATCTGCCACAGCTGCAGTGAAAAGCAAGGCTAGATTGGTGTACAATTTGAATACTCCTCAGTGAAATATTAACATAACGTTTCAGACAAAATTTTGAATCAGCAATTGCTGAAATGCTTTATTAATTGTTCTTTTCTTAATCCTCAGTGTCCAGACCAATCATGCAAACAGGATTTGTTGGCTTACCTGGAACAAATCAAGCTGTATTCTCATCAGCTCAAAATCTGCAGCCAAGTTAAAGCAGAAATACAGAATCTAGGTGGAGAGCTCATCATGTCTGCTGTAAGTAGAAAAATGGCATAAATTACTCTGTCAAGCAAAATACATCTTAAATTTCAGTTGTGCTTTCCCGTGCTTGCAAGATGTTCCAGTGTAGCCCTGAATTACTTGCTTTATTTCTCACTGTTTTTCACACTGACTTAACACAGAGCATCTGAGGCACTGAAACATAACATTTGGTGTCTTAAAAGGAGTAGTAATCACTTGCAGTTATTTTTCTTTTAAATTCTCAAAACATACTATTCTTCACTGTTACTCTGGAATAATTCAATATAAGAACTGTAACCCATTTTAAGATTGTGGCTCATTTATTTACATATTTGAAGCATGCGTGTGTGTCTGTACCCAAAAAATAAATCCCCAGGTTCACTTCCAGTTCAGAAGAAAGTGATAAAAGACAGTCTACATCTCTATAGAAATAAAGAAAATTAAAATTAAGAGCAAGTAGTCTGAGCAGATTTCTTCACTGTGCATTAAGAGTCATTAGCTCCATTACAACTAAGTATCATTAGCAGCAGAAAAGATATTGTTTATGATTTTGTGGAACTTTTCTGTACTTGTCCTCAGCACAAATCTGATCCCAGGCATTCATATATTATTCATTAGCATTATTACTTGTAGCATATGGGATTATGATTTCAAGACATAAAATCTGCTAAATGGTACGTAAGCCAGATAACAAAATCTTCCCAGCCCACATTCTTATTATTTAAATACTTCACTTTTTATGATGATTTCATATTCACATAGCATGGAATGTATGTATCACTAAAACTACTAGTACATTTTATATGGTTTATAAAATAATCAGAAATTAAGCCTCTGCAGCTGATGTAAGATCTGAAACATTAATTTCTGTAGACCATTTTTGTTGGTACAGTCAAATGAAAATTCAGAGGTCGTATTTAAACCTCGTGCAGAACTTACAGGTTAGTAATTTTGAATTGAATGTATACCTTCTGAAGCTAATACTTATTTTCACTGGGGTTGTAAATTAATCAAGTTTAGATGCATTATGTTTCTTCTTCCTTTTACCAACAGCTGAATGAGCAGAGTGAATTAATAAAGTCAAGTCTCATTTTTTCATGCCCTCTGTGCATACATCCTCTGCTGTCAGTGCTCTGAACTTGCCCATGTTGTCTTTAAACCTACTTCCAATGGCCCTACACAACAGAAACCCATGATTCCTTCTGTGCTTAGAGGCTTTGTTTCAGTACTTTGTTCTCCCCTCACTTGCATATAAACTGTTCAGGTGTTTCTTAGAGTACTAATGCTTTTTTATCTCAGCTTCAATGTTTCTAACATGTTAACCCTGATCATGATAGACAGACAGACAGAGACATACAGAGACATACATAGATGGAGTGAACCTCCCCCAAAGTCCACAACAGCTGTACAGCAAGAAACAGTGGTGCAGATACTGACTGCTCAGTCTGTGCTGGCAGGCTGTTGGTCACCCACTTGAGAGCCAACAAGAACTGGTCTGTCTCTGTCTTTTTTTCTCTAGGATCTCTTATTTGTGGCTCTTTTTTCCCTATGCAGTCTTTGGTTTTGTGACCTGATAGAGATTTATTATTTGTCTTTGGCATTTTTGTGTCTCCATGAAATTTGGAGATTAGCTAACTAGTAATTTAGAAAGCTACTGGAGGACTGAAAAATTAATAAATGGACAACACAGATAAACTTCATTCACTTACAAACCTAGTTAAAAGATACAGATCCTTGCACATCACAATGTGTATCTGATTTGAAATGTCCACTACTTTGGCAGATTTGGATTCACAAGGATCCTTGAGCTACGAAAATCTGCATACCGCCTGGTACACAGCAGCTGTAATTTTCCTGGTCCTGTTTCCATTACTGAGTGCAGCTGATTGGTAGATTTACTGCAAGAAATTTTGAAAGCCTACTTTAGTTCTTCCTCTTTTTTTCTCCCACAGTAATGATAGTCCCATTTTTTTCTTTGCCATTTTATTGTGTCACCCATATGTCAGCAGTGGGAAGTACATAATCCTGGTGCAAATATTTTAATTCTAAAACTAATAACCCAAACTTAACTTCATAATCCCAGAGGGATAACTATAGAGCTTAATCCTATTTCAGGGAAGGAGGATTAGGTTAACCTAACCTGAACTATTTGTATTTTACTTGCTTCTACTTTAGGAGAATATGGGAGTTAAAAATATGTTGTATGGATACAGTGATAACCAGAGAGGGAGAGAAATTCACTACTAATACAAAATGGCTGATTGAATTACTTTTTTAGAAACCTGGACCAAATTCTGGCTTTGAAAGTCTCTGTGGGGGCTTTAGAATTTGATCAGGTAGGTTAGCTGGCCTTGAAAAAAGAGACAAAACAGTGTTCTGCATAAGAAAGCACAGAGGTTCTCCTTCCTTACTTCAAGATCTGGGAGCATAGTAAGGAAAAAGCTCTATCGAAAATATGTGAACAGAACACGTGTCCTGATTATCTGTCAGGTATCTGCTCAGGCAGTTGAGTTTTACCCTTTGAGCCAAAAGGGGTTTTTATAGTTTATGCAACACTAGTAAATCTTCCGATTCTGTTCACACCAAATCAATAGCAAATCTCTATTTTTTAAGGAGTCAGAACTGCAGCTGGAATAGGATTATATTCTCCCTTGTCCTTATCTTCTCTCATTCCTCTGTTTCAGCTAATAAAGAATGAGAATCAGAAAAAGAGACATCAGGCATGAATAAGGAAAAAAAGAGTGCATGCCCTTGCAGACAGTAAAACTATCATTATGTATTAAGCAAAAATATAAAGATACCGGAAACTCCACCAGTCCTCTGGATAGTAAAGATCTATTTAGTGAAAAAGAAGTGTATTAGAAAGAGCATTAGGAAATAATCATTTTGCTTTCACTGTTACTCTGTGATTTCTCTGTTCTGTGCCCATGTACATGTATGCTTAAGATTGAACTACCTGATTTTTGGTCATCTCTCAGATGTCTGTCATTGGCTCCTCAAAGTTCACTTTTGTCATCTCGTCTCCTTCACGAACTGTGATAGGGTGTGCAAACAGAAGAGCTTAGGAGGAAAGCTCCATTCAGATAGTTAATGTCAGCTTCAAAGCTGGCAAGTCAGCTTGCTGTACAAAGTGAAAATGATTGAGCAAAAGCTGGCAATAGACCACAAATCCACACATAAAAGCATTGTCATATGGATGTCAGATAGCACTTATGTCCATCCTCCCCTTCCTCCAACTGTGCACAAGGATCTCGGATTTAAATCAGCCTTGAATTTTGAATTGTTTGGGTTTTTTTTTCTTACAAGAAGAGTAGCAGTTCATGAAAAAAATGTGCTATTGAAGCCAAAGGACCAAGTCAGAGGAAAGAATAGGGAAGAGCAGAGGATATAGTCTATAGTTCTATCACATATTTGTTGATCTTCAAAAGAAAGAACTATCATTTTGAAATAGAGCTAAATCGTAAGACCTGCCTTACCAGGGTCGTCTTCTGGATGAAGCTATGGAGAAGAAAGTAACGTAGACGTAAAATGGCATTACACATTAACCTGATACACTACTATGTACCATTGGTCAGCAGTGCTACGGTGTAAGGCCACCCATGTATCTGTCAATAAGAAATGTGTTCTTATTGATAGAAGCACTGTACCTAAGGAGGTGCTGGTGACTGCCAGCATAGTTCAGTTTGGGACTTACTGCCATGACAATAAAGAGCATTATGCATATGAAAAAGTACACTGTAATCTACAAAACACAGATCATAATCATTTGTTCTCTAGATCACATTATCTTTAGTTGTTTTTCTTCTGTCCTCCCCGTGTCTTACCTGTAACACTCTTCTGACAACCTCCTTTAGAATGCTTCTTGCTTAAATTAATACCCCTGCCATATCATTAGCGTAGGTTAAATAGGCCAGTGTACATGGGAAGCTGGAATGCTGTGGGAGTATCCAGCTGATAGTCCTCCTAACTGTTCTCCTCAGTTAATGGGTTTTTGACTTCAGTCCACAGAATGTTGTAGTCTTTGAGTATAGTTACACAGACACTTGCCTGTCTCACTGCCCTTCCCTGAGCTCCATCCAGTACCTTCATTCTAGCCAGTGGCACAGTAATGCTCAGACCCCCAGTTATGGTGGTTATTAAAGGTTCTTTTGACTTAAAAAGAAATCTGGAAGAAAGAGTTCTCAGAGTTACAGTATCACAGAATTTGATAAATGGCATAGAAAAGATCTCTCAGGTGAGCCAGCCCTACTTGTGCACTGAAGGCTGTTTCGCTCTGTTCTTCCTGCAAATCACAGAATCACAAAATATGAGGCTGGAAGGGACCTCAGAGATCATCTGGTCCAACCTTTCTAGGCAAGTGTGACCTAGACTAGATATCCTAGCACATTGTCCAGCTGAGTTTTAAGTGTCCAATGCTGGGGAATCTACCAAACCCCTGTGGAAATTCCAATGGCTGATTGTTTTCATTGTGAAAATCTCCCTCCTATGTCCAGTTGGAATCTCCCCAGGAGTATAAGTTGTACCCATCACCTCTTTGTTTTTCCCATGTGACTCCTTTTAAAAAGAGGTTCTATCTTCTCTGTAGCCACCCTTTAAATACCAGAACATGGTGATAAGGTCTCCCTTAAGCCTTTTTTCCTCAAGGCTGAACAAACACGGTTCTCTCACAGCCTTTCCTCATAGGTCAGGCTTCCCAGTCCTTTGATCATCTTTGCGGCCCTTCTCAGAACCCTCTCCAGCCTGTCCAGATCTTTTTTTTGTAGAGCAGGGACCAAACCTGAACACAGTATTCCAGGTGCGGCCACATAAGCACCAAGTATAGGAGGATAACGACATGTTTATCTCTGCTGGTGATGCCCTTGTTGATGTAACCCTGCATCCTGTTGGCTGTCTTTGCCACAGTGAAAAAAAAAAAAAAGGATAAATCAAATGCGTCATTTGATTCATCTTTGATTCTTCCTGACAGTATGTCAAGAACCAGCCTTACTTAAACAGTGACATAACTCCACTTTTGT